GAAACGACATTCCATTGCTGATGTTACGAAATAAATCATTCGAGTAATTATACTTTTATGAAGAAGTTATTTTTTTCTATAAAAATGTTATACTTTTATTATTTTCTGAAAAAAAACTTATACTTTTCTAAACGTTATCCTGCAGTTATACTTTTTTTAAAGTCTTATACTTAAAAGAAAAATAGTGACTTACTCAAGAAAGGCTGATTAAATATGTTATCTTTTTGTAAATAAAGTTATTTTCTATAAAATATTATACTTTCAAATGTAAGTTAAAAGGTATAAGTTATATGTAAAACATCTCTAACATCTCTGAAATCAAAAAAGAACACACTGTAAATAGATGCAAGAAGATGAAGCAAATAAGAAAAAAGTCAAAATATTTATTTTTGAAAATATTCAAAATACACTAACGAAACTATTATAATTTGAAAAATATTTATATAAAAATCAAAAGAATTTTATCCACTTAAAAAACAAAAAAAAGAGGAAAAAAACGATGTTTACAAATGTTCATTATGTTACACAACGGAGTTAAAATATTTAAATTTTTAGGAGATAAACATCAAATGAATTGTGATTCGAAAAATAGAAAAGTTTGAAAGTGAATTGCAACAGAACGACACGATGATGAAAGTGATTCGGTGTCAATACCTTTCCACAAACCTGATATAACAAGTATAATGTACTATGAACCGAAAACAAATAACCATAGCAAATTACTAGAAAAATCACGAATACTTGATTACTAAATACTTAGTTTCTTTTTATTATTTTTTCTTAAATTATGTCTTCTATCAATAAAAAGAAAAATCTAAAAATTTTCCATGAACTGTCTTTTCAAATATGTGCCCTATTTGGTTAGAATACACCTGTCACTGACTCATTGATTGACTCATTAACCTCGTGTGAAAAATTCTCTCTCTCTCTTTTTTTTAAATTAAACAATAGGTAAACTCGAAGAATATAATATAATTTTTTTTTTTTTGGCTTAAATCTATATTTTTATATTTTAAAATATCGGCTTATTTATTATTTTTATTGATAAAGTAAGATAATTACATACAAATTAAACTATTTGTGTGAAATTGGTATCTGTATTACTCTGATTTTTCTAATAATTTTAATTTCTAGATTTTATTTCAAACTTTTTTTTAATTTAGAATGTTTTCATTAGTTTATTTACAACTTTTTATGTTTAATTATATACGTACACAAAGCATAATCTCTGATAACTTTTGCATAAATCAATTTTTATATTCTGTAATTTATTATGTTTTTTCTTTTTTAATTTCCAAATAATATAGAAATGTGAACTACTTTAATGTTAAATGAACAAATGAGAATTTTAATCAATTAAAATAAACACAAACCATAATTAATAAATGCATACTTTTGGATTTTTAGGAAAAAAATTAATAACAATGTATTAAACTCAAGTCATAATCAACAAATGTATTTAATTCATAGTTTAAATAATAAATTAACTGTTTAATTCATAATATTTTCTGGAAAAATNTAGTTAAACTTGAGAAATTGTACTACATAATGTAATTAAAATTTGTTGCTATTTTTTCATGCTATTTTACGTACGCAAGTTAAAATACAGATCTCGAAATATGCAAAGTAGTCCGTCCTGTATACAACTATATTAATGCCAATACGTCTAATACGATGCATTCATCGAATAATAAAATCTTAAACTAAATAAAACTTATTTTCATTAGCCAGTCTCTTTATAATATATCTATAAATATCTTAAATATTCATTCGGATCCATTCCAATTTATATTTTAAACTGAAATATTCCTCGTGAAAAATTGCCAAATATTGCTCTTGTTCTTCTCGAGATAAAACGCAAAATCTAATAATTAATTATTCTCATTAGTCTAAAATTGCATGGAATTATGCCAAATGTGGTATTAATCTCAATACGATATTTATAAATGATAACATAAAAATTTAAGGCCATTTCTAATGGCCTAAAGCCGAAGTTAAACGTACATTTATCAAAAACTAGATAAAAAAAATTATTAAATTTTATCCATTAACGTTTTCATTATGTAGGATATAAAAATACATTCTAAAGATTGTAAAGTTGAGATATAAAATAGTACCGCATAAGAATTAAATAGTTTTTCCTTATAAAAAAAAATAATTATTGGAATATTATTCTTATTTTCTATAGAAAACTGAGTTATTATACGAAAATAAGTCAATTCTTAAAAAATTTATGAATTTATCATTTAGAAAAGTTGAAGTTCAGCAAGAAAATAAGTTAATGCATTAAGTAAAATTTCATATTATATAATCCTGTAATATAAAGCATCCTTTATTTTATAACTCAGATGTGAAGAAATTCATTTATCTGTAACCGATTCTCAAGGGGACGACTCCCTTTATTTCCAGTTCAGAACACATAACTAAGTTCTGGCTTCCCTGCTTTGAAGGTCAACGGCAAGAGGAAGTATCCAACAACGAACTACTGGCAAAACAGTTTAAATGTAATGTGTTCTTGTGCAAAGAAGAAGCCAAAATTAAATCATTTCCGGAAAAAATTTCACAATCCAGTCGACGAAAGGAGAGGGGATCAATAAGTAAAATCAAATAATTCAAGAGCATGTCACAATTAAAGATATTGAATTAAAAGTAACTTCTCTTCTCTAATTTTTTACCATAAAAGAGAATGAAAAAAAAAGCTAATTTTATATTTATTCTATATATTAAAATATCGTTTATATATAATATTTTAAAGGAATTTAATCGATTTTATCATGACAAGTCACGTTCTTTGACGCAACGGAATAGAATGGAAATGCACTAAAAATATTTTATTTTTAATTTTTAATTATTTTAGAAAACTTTTAATCAGTTTAACTATTCATTATGAGAACTATAAATAAGTTTTATTCACGTTCAAAACATTGTAAGTCAATGCTATTGTGTTAAAAGTCCAATCTAAAAAACAAAAAATATATATATATGTTGTGTGTGTATATATATATAAAGCAATTCTCGAGATAAAATTAGATTAAAAATAAAGAAATTAATATCACAAACACAATTACTATAATAAATTGAGAATGTCATGATATAAAGGAAAGAGTATTATTTATTAGAAGTGAGTGGCATGTTTGATATATTAATCATTGAAGAACAAAAAAATAAAAAATGCGATTTGTAATCATTTTTAAGTTAGAAATCTTTCAGTAGAATAATTGTTAATATAAATTTTAAAGGCAAAGAAATCAACGAATGAAAAATAAAAATATATCTATCTTTGATGAAATTTTAAATAAGAATATAAGAAATTATAAGAGAAAAAAGGAAAAGTAATGATGAAACATGAAACAGTTTTGTGTAAGTCAAAGAAACGACATTCCATTGCTGATGTTACGAAATAAATCATTCGAGTAATTATACTTTTATGAAGAAGTTATTTTTTTCTATAAAAATGTTATACTTTTATTATTTTCTGAAAAAAAACTTATACTTTTCTAAACGTTATCCTGCAGTTATACTTTTTTTAAAGTCTTATACTTAAAAGAAAAATAGTGACTTACTCAAGAAAGGCTGATTAAATATGTTATCTTTTTGTAAATAAAGTTATTTTCTATAAAATATTATACTTTCAAATGTAAGTTAAAAGGTATAGGTTATATGTAAAACATCTCTAACATCTCTGAAATCAAAAAAGAACACACTGTAAATAGATGCAAGAAGATGAAGCAAATAAGAAAAAAGTCAAAATATTTATTTTTGAAAATATTCAAAATACACTAACGAAACTATTATAATTTGAAAAATATTTATATAAAAATCAAAAGAATTTTATCCACTTAAAAAACAAAAAAAAAGAGGAAAAAAACGATGTTTACAAATGTTCATTATGTTACACAACGGAGTTAAAATATTTAAATTTTTAGGAGATAAACATCAAATGAATTGTGATTCGAAAAATAGAAAAGTTTGAAAGTGAATTGCAACAGAACGACACGATGATGAAAGTGATTCGGTGTCAATACCTTTCCACAAACCTGATATAACAAGTATAATGTACTATGAACCGAAAACAAATAACCATAGCAAATTACTAGAAAAATCACGAATACTTGATTACTAAATACTTAGTTTCTTTTTATTATTTTTTCTTAAATTATGTCTTCTATCAATAAAAAGAAAAATCTAAAAATTTTCCATGAACTGTCTTTTCAAATATGTGCCCTATTTGGTTAGAATACACCTGTCACTGACTCATTGATTGACTCATTAACCTCGTGTGAAAAATTCTCTCTCTCTCTTTTTTTTAAATTAAACAATAGGTAAACTCGAAGAATATAATATAATTTTTTTTTTTTTGGCTTAAATCTATATTTTTATATTTTAAAATATCGGCTTATTTATTATTTTTATTGATAAAGTAAGATAATTACATACAAATTAAACTATTTGTGTGAAATTGGTATCTGTATTACTCTGATTTTTCTAATAATTTTAATTTCTAGATTTTATTTCAAACTTTTTTTTAATTTAGAATGTTTTCATTAGTTTATTTACAACTTTTTATGTTTAATTATATACGTACACAAAGCATAATATCTGATAACTTTTGCATAAATCAATTTTTATATTCTGTAATTTATTATGTTTTTTCTTTTTTAATTTCCAAATAATATAGAAATGTGAACTACTTTAATGTTAAATGAACAAATGAGAATTTTAATCAATTAAAATAAACACAAACCATAATTAATAAATGCATACTTTTGGATTTTTAGGAAAAAAATTAATAACAATGTATTAAACTCAAGTCATAATCAACAAATGTATTTAATTCATAGTTTAAATAATAAATTAACTGTTTAATTCATAATATTTTCTGGAAAAATTTTAAATTACTTTTTAATTTTTTAAAAACCGCTTATAAAATAAATTTATGAAAAAGAATTTAAAAAAAAAAACGGAATAAAATAAGAATATTTGGTGAAAACAGAACTCACATTCATGGTACTAAAGTGTTCATCTGTAATTTCCGGACTTTCTGGAAGCCAATCCTGTCTGTAATCAGCGACTCCAATTTCAAATTCAGGATCTCTAAACGTTTCTTCCAACTGAAAATAAATAACAAAAAGTAGTAACTTAACAAAGGATTTTTATAAGGTAATTTAACTATTTTTCTTTTACAAAAATAGAAATAAAAATCTAAGTATAGAGGAGTAATTTCCCCAATTGCGTAATGTCTCCCGTTGATTCAGAGGTCGATTGGTCAAGCATAAACATGGCTCACATTTGCCCACCTGTACATTCTTTAATAATAGAGCTGCTTTGTCAGATAACGAAAATAGCAGAGGCGTCGATGGTGGGCGATCTTCCGTCAACGGTTTATCTGTTACGATATCGGTTAATTAAGAGTTGAAAATGTTTTTCGATGGTTTGAAATTCGAATAAAAAAGAAAAAAATCTATAAATTGCGTCCATTTCTTACGCAAAAATACATTGAATTTCACAACTGTAACTGGTGATTTATATGAATTTCGATGTTATCGACACTTACATTACAACTAGTTCATTAGTACCTTAAATGAGGTATGTCATACTTCTATATTGATCCCGAATCTGATAATGGGCACATTTTAATGATGAAATTGTTACGTAGATCTATCTAATAAAGTATATATAACTTTTGTTACTATTTTGTGGGTGAAATCTATATGCTTGGCACATAATTTTTTACACTGCTTATATAGGTCTAGGCTATGCTCTTGAAGAATCGTTGTGTTTCAAGGGTATAATTTTTATGATAAATTACTTTTAGATCATTAATTAGTTGAAAAGATAAAAAGTGCTTTTGTGAATAATGATATAATAACATCGTTTATAAAAAAAGTAGGGTTGTTGTTCTTTTTTTCTAAAAGAATTTTTCCTCCTATTTTAAGTTTTTCTTGAAAGAAGGCTGACGAGACAGGTGAAGATCACACACACACCTGTGACGATTTCTATGTAATTAGCGAAGGTCAGACACTCAAAAGAGCGAAAAGACTAAACGTCTGCACGATGTGTTGATAGCAAATGACCCGCCTTCTCTTTCAACTTTAGACAAATGAAGAAAGAAGTTCAACTAGAGGTCAACCCAGTTCGACTTTAACCACGTGCTTCGATTATCAACGTTACAAATTACGAATACCCTCGAATTAATAAATTATTAAACATCGAAACAACATGATGCTCGTATCTCGTTAAACTTTCGTCTGTCTACATGCACGGCCTCGTTGGTTAGGGGACCCATATAGGGGTACAGAAGAACCAGGATGTTATTTAAGGTCTGGCATTCTGATACAAACAGGGGCGTATCGTAAATTACGTATCCGTAGTTGTAAATCACTATTTTAACTTAACGAAATTAAAGCACCAAGGATATACTTACGAATTTTATTTTGGCTTCTCTAGCGTGATCCCTGCACACTCGAGCCCTGGTGATGACATTCTTGTATAGATCCTCCATAGGTATCGAAGGTGCGTTTGTCATATCTCTACTGGCATCGAACACATGACCAGGTAGATTGCAAGGATTAACCCATCGTGGCTTGTTCTGTTTGAGAGGTGAGGCAGACATGATCGAAGCAGACAGCAGTAGTAACAGATAAAGATGTAAAGAACTTCGCTTGTCTAAGCACACCACAAAAAATTTAATTATTAGTTCTGTACACATCGAAGGGGGTATAATAAACGTATCTTAAATATCGCGAACCAAAGGTTTTTCTTATACTAAACGATGCCTAATTGTCTCACTTCCATTGGTATCTATCGGTGTATGTGGTGTTTTGATTACGCAGACAGCAAACACCGCAGTATAAATATCCATGGCAATCCACGAAATTCTTGCCGCACGTGAGTTCAAAAACTCACACACATAAGAGCTGACGTCATTACCGGAAGTGACATAGGACCATTGAACGATAGTAAGCAAAGTAAATCGTGGCCTAAACTGCTGCGGTCATTGGTAGAATGTATACCTACTGATATGCTAGAAGGCGGTACCTTAACTGATCTCACTCTGGTCGCACATACACAGCAATCGAGTCTTTTGTATTACAGAGCTAACACAGAGTAACAGGCCCAGGCGGCGGGCGACACCTGTTAACATCCGGGACTTAAAACCGGACAGTTAACTATACCTGCCTCCCTGTTGTAGCTTTTACCTACCTGTACACGGCTTAGTCTTGCTATAAAGAAAAGGTTATCGTATGGCCATCTATAATTTTGGAATTAGTAAACAACTACTTGGATATATACAATAATAATACTCGCGTATCCTGCTTTAAAAAAACTCGAAATAACCCCTAAAAAATTAATCCTCATTAAAAGTATGCGTTACGTTTTTATATAAACGTGTATAATTTTTTTTAATTTTGATTTTTAATATATTTTCTTCGGATATATACTGAAAATCTGTGTGACCTACATCCAAGTCGCAAGTGAAATCTAGTATGTTAACAGTCTAGACATTCACTAAAGTATTACAATATCAAATTACGGTGACATCAACGCTAGAATTTGTTCTTTAAAAGCTAAACAGTATCAACAATGTAATGCTGTGTTTTTCCGACTTCGTTTAAAAAGCATTATCACATATGAAACATGCCGAATTTGCTAACGTTACGATTAACAATAATGGCAGATGGTTATCAGAGACGGAATGTTTTAACAAATCAAAAAAATAAAAAAAAAACTTTAGAAAAGAATCGTAATATCCTCACAGGAAACTCTCCATTGTAGTAAATTGTATATCAGGAAAAATTGAACGGGTTTTTACAGTCATGGTCGTTAGACAGGGAAAAATAGGTTCTGCTGTGTCATGACTTTAATTTGTCTATAGAAAAGGCGGGTTTATCGAGACCATTGCCACATGGGCCTCATTTTAAATCCAATGGTCACCTCGTCTAGTCGAAAATTTCAGTTACTTAAAGCCGAGTAATTATGATTAAAATTACATTTTATGTTTCATCCAGTGGTTACTCTAAGCATATTTTAAAGTCAAAACTATTACATCATCCACCCAATGATAAGATGTGCCCCAGGAACTGCTTTTTTTTTTATCTCCAACACCATCAGCACACCTGTAGTGTCCAGAGGACACAAAAGAATATCCTATCTACTGAAACTCAATTAACTTAACTTATCTCCACGTAATCTTCGACCATTAAGTATAGTGCTAAATTTCGTCTTTAAGGAGACCAAATAGCAGAACTTCATAAATTTTGTTTTTTTTTTTAGTTATTTTTAATTTTTTCGGCTATGCACGAAGCTATTTTGTTCGATTATGAAATTAATGTTATAAGTAATTTTTCTCTTTCGTAACGTGATTGTGCAAATTTATAGTAATGGAATATAAGGAATTACTTTTGTTATGTATTTTTTTTTATATAATATTTTCATTTTAATACATATTATTGGGGTATACGCGTTGCTTTTCATGTAAATTGCGAGATTGAAGACATACAAAACTGTAAATTACATTACAAAATCTGTGTTTGTATACAAAAAAAAATCGCTATTAAAACTTTACGGAAAAGTAAATAAATTTTTCTTTTTAAGGATTGGCATGTTTCGTGCTGAAATTTTCGTAATTTTATAACATTTTAATTATAATATTTATCTAATTTAATTTGATTATTTACGAACCAGCGAATATTGTTTTACTTTCATGACTTATCATTATCAAAATAATAAGTGGAGAAAGTAAGACAAATAACTCTCGACGATGGGTCAGTGCTCTGTATAACGTGTGAGTTGTGTTACTCGATTGACTACTTCTTGCAAACGTGATTTGCATAACGTTGAGTCAGATGCTTCATCACAATTACTTTGACATTAATAGTACCTGATATTTACTGAAGGTGATCACTAAACAAGAATTCAATATCACTACAAGGATGATGATATTACTCTTTTTTTATATATGAAATATTAATACTTCTAGCTATTTTATCGGCTTGGAAAAAGAAATTTATTTTTAGTTATAATTAATAAAATAAATTCTGTAATTTATTTTATCTACAAAACGTTCGTTTAGGAATTAATTAGACTACTTTTTGTCACTGTTAAAGTTTTGTTTTTTGCACAGTAAAACTTGTAGTGAATATCAACGATGGTTTATATCTAGAAATTGGGTTTGTAGAAAAGTGAATTATTATTTGTTTATATTTACATACTTCTATAGTTGCAAGGAATCACACAGATTCATTTACAGTAGATTTAATTTTTGATCACATTTAAGTGCTTCTGTTGTATCAGAACTGAATCGACTGCGTTATAAACTATCGGTCATTAATATTTAAGTACTTTTACAATAGCAAAGAAATCAGATAAAAGTGTTAAAGACTCATCTGTTACTGATTTAATGATTGTTTACACTTAAGTGCACCTAAAGTAAGTTACTAGGGAAATGATGCTGATACATTAAATCATCTGTAAGTGAAGTATCGATCATTTATATTCAAGTACCTCTATAGTAGTTGAAATGTCATGACTCATTTGAAATTAAATTAATGTTTATTTGCATTTATTTGCATATAAGTATACATATAGTAGTAGGGAAATCACTACAAAGTTGCAAGTCATTTTTAACTGAAATATCAATCATTCATATATAAATACTTGTGTAGAAGCAAGGAAGTCATATTGAAGTATTGTGGATTCATTTGCAAAGTCGACTGACTTTGTTTACATTTAAATGCATCTGCAATAACAAAGAAATCATATTGAAACATTACAAGAGTCTTTTGTAATTGAAGTATCGATCATTTACATTGAAATACATTTGTAATAGCAAAGAAATAGTATTGAAATGTTGGAAATTTATTTAATATTATTAATATTAGGGTAATGTTTAATATAATTCCTTAATTAGTTCTTTATCACGACTATTATGGAGATCAACCATCTAAGAAGATAAATGTTGATTGCTCCATAATTATCGATATAAAATCATCCACTTTATTAAAAAAAACCACAAAAGTTTTATTAAGGAAATAAATAAAGGCCAAGAATAATGAATCACCTTGATAATTAATTAATTCATAATGCCATAATTGTTGATCTTAAAACCATGAATCATTAAGTAAATCGCTTTACTAGCTAAATAACATTGAATAAATTAGCATCATATACATAATTAAAAGTAATATTTGGGCGGTTATTTATGAAAATTACACATTTTCAGGCGCCTTTTCCATCAAAAAACAGAAAAGCCTGGAGGAAATTTTGAAACCAAAATATTCATTATTAACATCTCTTTATAATTATTTAGATTTTTTTATTTAAAAAATAAAGATTTTATCAATAAACATATTAGAGATAATTATAATAACAAAGTTAGTTACTTTTAAAAATATTTTTTATATCATGTATACAAAAATAATTATAGTAACGACGTTGGTTATTTTTTAAAAAAATATGCCTATTAATTTGGATAAGAATGACATTCAAGTAACATGTTAATAACCTTTATAATTACAGCATCAAACAATCATCTTTTTTAATTTTTTAATAGCAAAATAAGACATCTAAATATCAATAAATCTTATATAAATATTGGATTTAAGACAACTGATTAACAAGACGATTATTAAAGCGATAAGATCAGATAATTCGACATGGGAGTAATATTTTATTTTATTAGAAAAAGATAATTATCGAATTTACAAGAACAGCCTTTAATTATCATTAAAATAAAAAGAAAAAGCAATACTTTTCTAAATTTCTTATTCATATTTCTTAAGAGATATTCCTTTAAAATCCTACTTAACATATATAAGTCGTAATTCATAGAAATCTACAAGATCTTAGAAAACCAGTCGTTCTTCGATAGCGTAGGATTTTTTTGTTATATCAACACCCGAATTTCACCTACATCGATATAAACACCCACAATAGATAATTAAGCCTACTGTTTTTAGATAACATTAAAAAATAAATAAATTTATATATATATTCACCTACTCGTTCAAGTGTTAGCCTACTACAAGTTAAAGGTACAACTTTCGCTCTTTCCCCCTTTCTAAAATATCCAAATGTATATTTATAAAACCTCTACGTATTTTTCCTCCATTTTACACAAGTTATTGTTATTACATATAGAAAATATGCGGAAATTCCCACACAAATAGCTCATTCGATAAATAAGCAAAGCGTGAGTTAGCAGAATTTAAAGTAATAGTATATATGATAATTTATAATGCCAATTAAACTATTTATGTAATTAACTTAATAATATTCTAATAACCAAGTTGAAATATTAGTTTTATTATTTTTTAATTTTATTTCCAGTTCTTTCGTGTAATTTGTCTATGTCAATATCATTAATCTTATGAAATTACTACCCACTCATTTAAAAAGATTTGCTCCTTACAGAATCGATTAAGATAAATGTTGTATCAGTTATATGATTAGTCGTTTCTGTTTCGAATCAATTAATTTTTAATTTTACGCTAGTTTTTTTTCGAAATTAAAAGGAAAATTTCTGTTTTGCAAAATAATTTGTAGAGAATAAAACATAAGTTTTGACTTTCTGGAAACAAGAGTTTTAATTTCTTTTCTTTAAAATTAGAAAAAGAAAAATTACCATAAGAAGAAAATTTTCGGAGGTTTTTAGAAATAGAATTAAAACTATTTTGGATGAAGAAAATAATTTTGGTATTTTTAGAAATTCAAATAAAAGTTTCGGGTGATTTTTAAATTTCAGGTGAAATTTAAGGTGATTTTTTTGGGTTTTAAAAACCCAAATGAAACATTTTAATTTATAAAAATATTTTTTTCTAATTTTTTTTGAGAATTAAACAAAAAATCTGACTCAAAATAACATTTTAAAAAATTTTAAGCTTCAGAAGATAATTTTTTTACGAATTAAAACAAACATTTTCCTTTAAGAAATGGTTTCGTTGAAAAATATAATAAAACATTAAAGGTAATAATTAGATTTTTCGATATATTTTCCAACTTTTATCTTAATTAAACTATTTTTAGAATATATTTTAAAGGAAACTGAAGCAAAAACTTAAGAAAGGTGCACGCCCGATTCAGAAAACACCGCTTTGACCTAAATTAAGTATCCTAATGGATAAACCGAAAGGAAACCAGCAACGTTATGCGGTCAGTATGTTAGTAGTTAGTATCAGTCTTCAAGTATTTTACCTAAATTCGAATTAAATAATTTTTTTTATACTCAGTTAAATCGATCAAAATAAATGTATTTAAGTATTCAAACGTATAAATTAATTACCCAAACACGTCGTGCATTTTTCAAAATAAAAATTTCGTAATAAAATTAGTCAAGTATTAAAAATAAATATTTAAAATACAGAAAATTTATAAAATAATTTTAAAATTATTTTTCATTTTTAATATATATATATTTTTTTCATTTTTTATAGAAAACAAATTTTAAAAATAGATTTTTTTGTAATATTTAATAAGTTGTTTACGTCTCTTCTATAGAAAATATGAACAAAATCCTAAAAAATTTACTTTAAAATGGGATTTAAATTTTTTTTTTTCTAAAAGAGCTCAGATAATACTATTATTTACTATAATAACAAAGTTAAAAATGTATAGCCTATATTATTATTATTTATGCATTTTAAATATATTTAAGTAAAAAAAATCAAATAAATACGAATAATATTACATAATAAATAAACGATTTATTCAGTAAAATTATTATGATATATAAGATACACTTTAATTTCTAAACAGTTAAACCACAAAATAAATGAAAGAAAAAACGATGAGAGAAAGAAAAACGTTGATAAAACTTAAGTAGCATTTTTATCAGACATCTCATAAACAATAAGTAGTTTTGTTTATGTTAAAAAATCATAAGCTCACATGTATCTTTTGTTTAAAACATGGGATAAATTTTCATCCGGAAATTGCCTCTTTATATTTCTTATGTAAGATGTCAAAGATTTGCATATCTTATACAAACAAAAATTTGATTAAGACATCAAATAACTAAGTAATTGTCATTCAAAAAAGACTAATTGCTGAAAGAAAACCTTAGAATTAATACGTCATCAATGCTTAACCTCTTTAATGACGTCAAATCCCTTAAAGATGGTCACGTACTACCGACGTACGTAACTAAATGGATTAGATTATTAAATAAGATAAGAATAACTTTAATATACATATATATAATATATTTGTTTTGAATATATTAAAATTTAAAATATAATAATAATTAATTAATTTCTATGCAAAGTTTACCTTTTAACATCTAGGTTACTTGGTTAAGTGATACACTTTAAACCAAAAAATAAAAAAATATATATAAAGAAATGCGATTTTTATTTTTAATTATGTAACTTTGCATTGCATCTTAGACATGAAATAAATACAATCTTCCTCCATTAGCAGACTGTGATATAAAGATTATTTTTAAACCCTAAGGCATTATTATTATACGCCGCCATTTTGTTGTATAACTTCAAAAACATCAGACTGCTTAATAATGGAAATAAATTTAAAATCTTTATTTAAAAATGGAAAAACTATTATAATTAATTAAATTAAATTTTTACAGTAAAAAAAAAAATTATAATAATTTAACTTTTCCTCTTGCCTAAATGAAATTCTGAACGAGGAAAACTCTCATAAAATAATAATAATAACCTCCTACTGTTATGATTTAATCATTAAATTTTTTTTTGAATATTTTATTTTAAGATCAAATTAATTTATTTAAAAAATATATGTGTGTGTTCTAAGGAATGCCCTTGAAAATAAATAAATAAATAAATATTCTACTAAGAGATAATTATATCTTTGTGCACCTTACATGTTGAAAAACTTCCTCAAAAATATATTCATAATGAATAATGTACATTTTTAACTCTAATTTATGAATTAATCATTTATTTATGTTTAAAAAAATGATTTAAATTTAAAAAAAATAAATTCGATATCGCCTTCTAGATAATAATATAATAATAAACATTTAATTTAAATGCGTTTATAGTAATAAGTTTAATATTGTATTTATATTAAACTTATAAATTTTTTATCTATTTAAATTTCTATTTCTTAAGGAATAAAATTAACCCTGAAAACTTTTACTTTTTAATATTAATTACTTTATTATTCCTTTATTAATAATTAAATTAAATTAAATCTAGGATTTTTAGAAATAAATCTATTATAAAATATAATATTTTAGACTAAGTTTTTTAATAGTAAATATTAATATTTATTATTAT